GTATGTATAAATTAAATTGTGAAGTAATAAAATTAGAAATAAAAATAAAATTAAAATAAAATAAACCAGGTATAATATTAGTGAGTAAACGAAATAGGTTACGGTACGGTGAGATTACATCGAACAATGGAAAGTCATGGTGAGTGCAAGATAAGATACGCAAGATGTAAATTAAATGCCATTGAAGATATAAATTAGGTACTTAAATTATAAAACAGTATAAATTAAAAAACGAACCTAAGTATGTCGTCATATCGGAAGAGACCGTGTCATATTATAAATTTTCGGTACATGTGAGCACTGTGATAGTTGGGCTCGAACTAATGCTCGGTCATGTTTTAGGAGCGTTGCAAGGTGATATGGTCTATATTGTGTTGATTACAACGTCGTATATAGCGTTTAAATTTTCAGTGTCTGTTTGTAAGTTTATTGTATTATCGGTCTTCTTTATGAAAAACATTTCCGCGATTTCTCTTTTCCTCCTGAAATGCTCGCTATGTAATATTTTTGGTTTCGTCCAATTAAAATCATGGTTAAAGTTTGTACGGTGTTTGCTAATTACAGAGTGGTTATTAGCGTCTTTCTTTATATCATTTTTATGTTCATTAATTCGAGTCTGGAGATGTCGCTTAGTTTGTCCAATATAAGAGGCTTTGCAGTCTTTGCATTCAATATGGTAAATTACTTCGGTTTTCTTGTCCCAGTTTATTTGGTCTTTGCCTCTTTTTATGATTTTGTCTAGTTTTTTGGGACTGTATAAGCAGTATTCAGACCTATTTTTTTCCAAATTCGTGCTGATTTTTTCGGTCAGTCCTTTAATGAAAGGGAGGATAATGCCTAATTTAGGATCAAAGGTTATTTTTTTCCCATGGTCTGTAAGAGTCGTGTCACGTCTATTTAATTCATTGAGTCTACCCAGGTAGAAATTTTGTCTGGAAACAATCAGAGCCCCATATATTTTTTGTAAAATATTTCTGGGATCCAGGTGGAAAATCTAGCTAGGGTCTATGTAAAGTTTGGGACGCCTAAATCGAACAGGCCCTATTGCTGAATCCAGATCGGTCCAAGATTACGCCCGGAATTTGTTTAGAAAAATTATATGGAATCTAGCTGGGGCCTATAATTTTCCTAGATATTTACTTGGTTTGTACCATAATTATTTTTATGATCCAGTCTGGTCCAGGCTTAAATCTAAAATTTTTCCCTAAAATATTCCCTGGAATTCCACCCGAGCAGAAATTTTAGTAGGGTTCTGATAGTATCCTAATAAAGATACCTTACAGCCCTGACAGGGCCCTGACCGTATACATATGTAACGTCGAGGTTTATCCATAATCCAGACAACTCGCTCTCGCATCATATCGGCTCGCCTTTTATACTAATACGGGACGATTTTTACTTACGAGGAAGACTAACGCGCGGTCGCCACGTCACGGCAGTATGTGGTACTAGTGCTATCTATTCAGGAGGGAATCAGGGAAAAATCTGTCAGTGGCAATCTAGGACCCATGTAGATTTTTCCGACTATTTTTCTCTCGGTAAAATCAAGGTAAATTTCTAGGGTGTAGTCTGGACCTAAACGGATATTTTTAATTGCATTTTTCTATCCAGGCTCTATACTTAATCTCGGAAAATTGAGGCAGATTTCTTATAATTAAGAAGACAATTTACTTTTGGACCTAACCTATTAAGATATTTAAAGCTAGATTATCCAATCTAGATCCCATAGTTTCATATCTAATTTGGGAAAAATCTGTCAGTGGCAATCTAGGACCAATGTAGATTTTTCCGACTATTTTTCTCTCGGTAAAATCAAGGTAAATTTCTAGGGTGTATTCTGGACCTATACGGATATTTTTAACTGGATTTTTCTATCCAGGCCCTGTACTTAATCTCGGCAAATTGAGGCAGATTTCTACCTGGGTAATATTAATATGTTTGTCGATAATTTTGTCAGGAAAGCAGTTGTTAAGTAAAATTTTTTTAACTAGAGCAATGTTTTGTTTCCAATATATCTTGTCCGAAAGTAAAATAGCGTGGTCAACTAAACTAATAATAGTGTTGGTCTTGTATTTAAAAGGGTGACTGGAATGGTAATTAATATATCGTCCGGAAAAGGTAGGTTTTTGGTACCAATTTGTCAGGATATTATTCTTGTCAGTTTTGGTAAGAGTCACATCCAGAAATGAGATGGAGTTGTTAGATTCCATTTCATAAGTGAATTTTAGTCGTGGGTGATGATTATTGAATATGGCTAAGACAGTGTCAATTTTGGTCGTAGGTAATGCTGTAATAATATCGTCAACATATCTGTAAAATATAGGTACGTTGAAATCTAGTCTCTGCAGGCAAGACACTTCAAGGTCTTTCATAACCATATCTGCCAGGATTGGTGACAAGGGAGACCCCATGGGGCTACCGAAAATCTGCTCGTAAAACTGTCCGTCAAATTTGAAACTAGTGGAATTTAATATTAATTCTATGGCATGTAGAAATTGTGGTAGATTGAGTAGTGTGTTAGGTGAAATTTCACTCCAGCGTTTTTTGATAGCTTCCACTACAAGTTCTTTAGGGATATTGGTAAAGAGTGCAGTGACATCTAGTGACATGGGAAAAAAATAACCTTTGATCCTAAATTAGGCATTATCCTCCCTTTCATTAAAAGACTGACCGAAAAAATCAGCACGAATTTGAAAAAAATAGGTCTGAATACTGCTTATACAGTCCCAAAAAACTAGACAAAATCATAAAAAGAGGCAAAGACCAAATAAACTGGGACAAGAAAACCGAAGTAATTTACCATATTGAATGCAAAGACTGCAAAGCCTCTTATATTGGACAAACTAAGCGACATCTCCAGACTCGAATTAATGAACATAAAAATGATATAAAGAAAGACGCTAATAACCACTCTGTAATTAGCAAACACCGTACAAACTTTAACCATGATTTTAATTGGACGAAACCAAAAATATTACATAGCGAGCATTTCAGGAGGAAAAGAGAAATCGCGGAAATGTTTTTCATAAAGAAGACCGATAATACAATAAACTTACAAACAGACACTGAAAATTTAAACGCTATATACGACGTTGTAATCAACACAATATAGACCATATCACCTTGCAACGCTCCTAAAACATGACCGAGCATTAGTTCGAGCCAGGGCCGGCTCTAGGCGCGTGCAACCGGTGCGCCGCACGCGGCCCCGCGGTTTGACCGGCCCCGCGCAGCCGCGGTTTGATCGGCTCCGTGGTTTGATCGGTCCTGCTTTCTTGCGCTAACCAAGTGACCGAATTCGCTACAAGATTACATTAATTACATCTTTATGCAATTAGATCAGCTAATCGAAACATCCGACGAGCTTTCGTACGGCGCATGAGTAATCTTGCAATGCGATTATCCAATGAGCGTACAGCTTTTCCATAAAATCTATACGGTCATTGGATTATCACAGGTCGCGCGTCGCGTTTTCTGCGGGGTCTACAATGAGAGTCGTGTTGTGCCCCGATTGCCGAAAGAGGTAACGAGGGCACTCAAGCAGTATTACTGCAATTAGAATAACACTAGCGTAAGCATATTGCGCGATCGAGCCACAAAAGCCCGACCGCGCAACTCAATT